GTGGAGGGAAATGGGAACTGCTTTATATGGGCTTTTCGTGGGGGGTCAGTCCATCCCATATCTCCACTGCTGTAAGAAAATTTGGGGGCATCTCTGGGAAGGCACCTGAAGACAGAGCAGAAACTCACATTTTGATTTCCAGGTAGGAACTTACCATAACTGATTCTCTTCTGTGGCAAAGAATTATTATAACATATGATATTTGCTGGAATTTTTTTGTTTTTTTTTTTTTTGAGATGGAGTCTCACTCTGTCACCCAGGCTGGAGTGCAGTGGTGTGATCTCGGCTCACTGCAAGCTCCGCCTCCTGGGCTCAAGCAATTCTCCTGCCTCAGCCTCCCAAGTAGCTGGGATTACAGATGCGCACCACTGCACCCCACTAATTTTTGTATTTTTAGTAGAGACAGGGTATCTCCATGTTAGTCAGGCTGGTCTCAAAGTCCCAACCTCAAGTGATCCACCTGCCTCGGCTTCCAAAAGTGCTGGGATTACGGGTGTGAGCCACCTCGCCCAGCCTCTATGTAGCTTTATTTTCGTCTTTGTAGCTATCTCATTTAGGAATAAAATGGGAGGCAGGTTTTTCTGATGCAGTTCTCAGGTTGACCTTTCTCTTTGGCTTAGTAATTTTTATTTTCCTTTCATGAGCTTGTGACAGACATAATGCTTTGACACACTGATACTCCTTTATATAGATTTTCCATAACAGTAAAGTTCAAGGGTCTGTCATGAATTGGGTTAGGAGACGAGAAGATTCCCAGGAGACTCCTGGTCTCAAGCAATCCTCCCACCTCAGCCTCCCAAAGTGCCAGGACCACAGGTGTGATCCACTGAACCCAGTGGAGTCTCGATCTCAAAAAAAAAAAAAAAAAAAAAAAGGCAGTACAGAAATTAAGGTACTCTATGGAATTACATAGTTTCCCTTTTTTATTTTGAAATGAAAAGTCTCACATATTTATTACTGAACCCAGCCAACCAATGGTTCATAACAGATTCAGAGAGAAAAAAATATATTCCCAGTAAAACATGTCCAACTCTCCAGATGGTAGTGACATTTTCAGCTTGATATGGTAACGTGATAGTGATGCTCAGACAGCATAAATGTGTGCCATCTCATGTGCAATTCCTTAGAGACCTAGCTTGGTTCTTCTCCGACGTCTCCTTTTAAAGTTGTACTGGATTTTCTTACCAGTTTTCATCTGAATCCACTGGGGAACGGAACAATTTTGCTTTTGTTTCTTGGCCAGGAATCGCTTAATCCTGAAAGTCCTGTGAGAAGATCTGGCGAGAAGCGGGGTCAAGTACACACCACGAGAGGAGAGAGGAAGAGAAGGGGCTTGACATCTTTTTTTTTTTTTTTTTTTTTGAGACAAAGTTTCGCTCTTGTAGCCCAGGCTGGAGTGCAATGACACCATCTTGGCTCACTGCAACCTCCGCCTTCCGGGTTCAAGTGATTCTCTGGCCTCAGCCTTCTAAGTAACTGGGCTTATAGGCGCCCGCCACCACACCCAACTAATTTTTGCATTTTTAGTAGAGATGGGTTTTCACCATGTTAACCAGCCTGTTCTTGAACTCCTGATTACTGTTTCTGCTGTTACCTGTCAGTCCTCTTCATTGTGGCACAAACAAGATTTTTTTTTTTTTGTAAAACTGATGTGGAGGGGGCACGGTGGCTCACACCTGTAATTCCCGCACTTTGGAAGGCTAAGGCAGGCGGATTGCGAGGTCAAGAGTTCAAGACCAGCCTTGCCAATATGGTGAAACCCCGTCTTACTAAAAATACAAAAATTAGCTGATGTGGTAGTGGGCACCTGTAGTCCCAGCTACTAAGGAGGCAGAGACAGGAGAATCACTTGAACCTGGGAGGCAGAGGTTGCAGTGAGCCGAGATCATGCCACTGCATTCCAGCCTGGGAGATAGAGTGAGACACCATCTCAAAAACAAAACAAAACAAAACAAAACAAAAACAAACAAAAAAACTGATGTGGATGCTGTCCCTGCCACTCCATGCATCACCTTCAACATTGTCTTGTCCCAACTCAAAATAAGTTATCCATGTACAAACTGTTGATTTATTTTACGCATTGTCTCCATAAACTTTTCATAAAGCATCAATGATTTCATTATTCCTCTACCCAAACCTTACCATAAGTATTCTTTTTTTGAGCCAGTATCTTGCTCCATCACCCATGCTACAGTGCAGTGGCATGATCACAGCTCACTGCAGCCTTGACCTCCCAGGCTCGAGCCATCCTCCCACCGCAGACTCAACAGCAGCTGGCCCTGCACGCGTATGCCACCATGCCCAGCTAATGTTAGTATTTTTTGTAGACAAGGGGATTTCACCATGTTGCCCAGGCTGGTCTTGAATACCTGGGCTCATGTGACCCACCTGTCTCGGCCTCTGAAAGTGCTGGGATTACAGGTCTGAGCCACTGCATCTAGTCTCATTGTAAATTTGATGCTTCTTTGTGTTTCAATTTTAGCAGGATTTATATTGCTTTGATAGAGTTTCTTTTTTTTTTGGAGACGGAGTTTCACTCTTGTTGACCAGGCTGGAGTGCAATGGTGCAGTCTTGGCTCACAGCAATCTCTGCCTCCTGGGTTCAAGCCATTCTCCTGCCTCAGCCTCCAGAGTAGCTGGGACTACAGGCATGTGCCACCATGCCTGGCTAATTTTGTATTTTTAGTAGAGACGGTGTTTCTCCATGTTGGCAAGGCTGGTCTCGAACTCTGGATCTCAGGTGATCTGCCCGCCTCGGCCTCCCAAAGTGCTGGGATTACAGGCGTGAGCCACTGCGTCCAGCAGATAGAGTCTCTTTTCAAACTCATGTCTTATCTTTCTGAGTGCCTCAAACTAGATCCTCTTCAGACATAACAGATTTGTACCAGTTTATTTTGGGGCAAAAACTGGGAAATTCACACACGATTTTTCTCATAATATGCAAAATACGTATTTTTCCATGAACTTCCTGAAGACCCCTTGTACTAGCAAACTGTATTCAAGAGGATATAGAAAGGATTGTAGATATTGAAGTGCCACTTATTTCTGGAATGGAAGGATGGTTCAACATATTCAAGCAAATCAATGTGATATTTCACTTGAACCAAATGAAAGATGAAAACCATATCATCTCAATAGATGGAGAAAAAGTATTTCACAAAATTCAACATCCACTAATCATGGAAATCCTAAACAAAATAGATAGAAAAGGAAATTTACTTCAACAATAGAAAGACCATCTATGAAATGACCAATGAGTAGATAACAAAGCAAGGAACATGGAATGCTTTTCCTGTAGGATCTCACATGATGCAAGAATGCTCTCACCCCTTCTATTCAATCAATACTGGCTGTCCTAGCCAGAGCAATGCAATAGCAAAAGAAATCAAACCCATCCAAATCAGAAAGAAAGAAGTAAAATTATATTTGTTTGTAGATGACACGACACGATCTTCTGTGTAGAAAATCACAAAGAGTCAGTCAAAATACTACTGGAACTAACAAACACATTCAGTGTATCTGCACAATACAATATCAGCACCAAAAATTAGTTGAATTTCCATACATTAACAATAAACAATTTTAAAACAAAATTGAAAAACACTTCCATTTGCTAGAGAACTTAAAGTAAGAAATACTTAGGAATAAAAGTAAAAAGGTGAGAAGTTTGTACCTTGATATCTACAAACATAGATCAATATGATTAAAAACATATACAGAGATATAACCTATATTGATGGTTTGGAAAAATTAATGTTGTTAAATAATTATATAACCCAATGTGATTTAGATTCAACACAATATCCATAAAAATCCCTATCAGTTTTTGTTAAAGAACAAAAAGCAAACTGGGAAAAGTGGCTCATGTCTGTTGGCCAGACTGATCTGAAACTCCTGACCTCAAGTGATCTACCTGCCTTGGCCTCCCAAAATGCTGGGATTACAGGCGTGAGACACTGCGGCTGGCCCAGTCCTCTTAACATAAACACTTTAATGTCAATTAATGCTTGATGGTTTGCTATACTCATTGCATTTGGAACAATTACCTCAAAAATGAATTTTCTGATATTCTGCAAGGAGTGAAGTCTGCCTGAAAACCTTGCCACGCTGATGCCATTTGTAAGATTTCTGTCCAGCATGGATTCTCTGATGTGTAATGAGGTGTGAATGTGAAATAAAGGCTTTGCCACAATCATCACACTTGTGAGGTTTCTCTCCTATATGCATTCTCCTATGTTTTGCATACGATGAAGCGTGACTGAAGACCCTGCCTCAATCATGACATTTGTAAGGTTTCTCTCCAGTATGTGTTTGCCAATGAATTGCAAGGTATGGACGATGTCTGAAAAATTTGCCAATTATTACACTTGTATGATCTCTCTTCATTATGGGTTCTCCAATGATTTGCAGTGGTTGTAGCCTTACTGAAGCCTTGGTGACAATCATTACATTAGTAAAGTTTCCTTCATCATGGATTGCCTGATGGTGAATAAGTGTTGACTGCTCATCAAGGCTCTGCCAGTCTCATTACACTTGTAAGGTTTCTCTCCAGTATAAATTCTAGTATGTTGTACCAGGTGTGAATCACGCCCGAAAGCCTTGACACAAACTCTTACAATTTTATGGTTTCTCTCCAGTATGAATTCTTTTATGTCTTTCATAGTTTGACTTGTGACTGAAAACTTTGTCACATTCTTCACCTTTGTAAGCTTTCTCTCTAGTATTAATTCTCCTGTCTTTCGAGGCTTGATTTGCTACTGTAAACTTGGTCACATGCTTCACATTTCTAAGGTTTCTCTCCACTATGAAGTTTATGATGACATGCAAGATTTGCTTTTTGATTAAAAATTTTGCAACATTCATTACACTTGTAAGGTTTCTCTCCAGTATGAATTATGAATTACAAGGACTGAATTGTGACGGAAGGTCTTGCCACACTCATTGTACTTGTAAGGTTTCTTTCCAGTATGAATTGTATTATGATGTGCAAGCTTTGTTTTTCAATTAAAAACTTTGCCATACTCATTAAACTTGTAAGGTTTCTCTCCAGTATGAAGTCTATGATGACGTGCAAGGTTTGCTTTTTGATTAAAAACCTTGCCACATTCATTACACTTGTAAGGTTTCTCTCCCGTATGAAGTCTATGATGACGTGCAAGGTGTGCTTTTTGAT